TGTCTCTCCCCTCTCCCTCCCTACCCCCTTTCCCTATCTCTCCCCCTGCCCCCAATTTACCTTAGAGAAGGCAGGGGGCCGGGCGCGTTCCAGTCTGGAGCCGCCGGGCCGGGTGACAGCTTCGCTGGTCCGGCAGCACTCCAGTCACTGGTGTCACTGATGGCTGAAGGAGGAGGAGCCTGTCTACCATGCTCCCTCACGGTTCCTGTGCTGGGAATTCTGGGAGCCGCGAGGGAGCATGGTGGACAGGCTCCTCCTCCTTCAACCATCAGTAACTGGAGTGGCGCTAGACCGGCGAAGCTGCCACCCGGCCCGGCGGCTCCAGTCTGGAACGCGGCCGGCCCCCTCTCAGTGTGCCACCTATGTGGCAGTGCAGCCCCCAGGTGCCGCGGCCCACCGGAAAATTTCCCGGTATCCCGGTGGGCCAGTCCGGCCCTGCTCTAGTGAGACTTCCTACCCTCTCTAAGACTATTTTATTCGTAATGGCGCAGCCCTACTCTATCTTTTTTGTGTTGTAATTACTGAACATGGAACTAACAGAATCTCCTCTAACTATTAGATCTCAATACTGAATGACCTCGTGTACACTAAGTGTAGCTCCCCACATCTCCTATAACCCACACTACCTGAGCAGCACACTCATTGCAGGTCCCCACAACTTCTATAACCGACACTATCTGAGCAGCATTATCACTGCAGCTCCCCATACCTCCTACAACACACACTACCTGAGCAGTACGCTCACTGCATCTCCCCACACCTCTTACATGCCTCACTACCTGAGCAGCACGCTCACACCATCTCCCCACACATCCTATAATACACACTACCTAAGCAGCACATTCACTGCTGCTCCTCACACCTCCTATAACCCACACTACCTGAGTAGCACACTTACTGCAGCTCCCAACACCTGCTATAGCCCACACTACCTGCGCAGCACGCTCAGTAAAGCTCCCCACACCTCCTATAACCCACACTACCTGTGCAGCACACTTATTGCAGCTCCTCACACCTCCTATAACCCACACTACCTGTGCAGCACACTTATTGCAGCTCCTCACACCTCCTATAACCCACACTACCTGAGCAGCACACTCATTGTAGGTCCCCACAACTTCTATTACCCACACTATCTGAGCAGCATGATCACTGCAGCTCCCCATACCTCCTACAACACACACTACCTGAGCAGTACACTCACCGCATCTCTCCACACCTCTTATATGCCTCACTACCTGAGGAGCACACTCACACCATCTCCCCACACATCCTATAATACACACTACCTGAGCAGCACGTTCACTGCTGCTCCCCACACCTCCTATAACCCACACTACCTGAGCAGCACACTTATTGCAGCTCCCAACACCTACTATAGCCCATACTACATGTGCAGCACGCTTAGTACAGCTCCCCACACCTCCCATAACCAACACTACCTGTGCCGCACACTTATTGCAGCTCCCCACACCTCCTATAATACACACTACCTGAGCAGCACACACACTGCAGCTCCTAACACCTCCTATAACCCACACTACCTATGCAGCATGCTCACTGCAGCTCCCCACACCTCCGATAACCCACACCTCCTATAACCCACACTACCTGAGCAGCACACTTATTGCAGCTCCCCACACCTCTTATAACCCACACTACCTGTGCAGCACACTTATTACAGCTCTCCACACCTCCTACAACCCACACTACCTGTGCAGCATGCTTATTACAGCTCCCCACACCTCCTATAACCCACACTACCTGTGCAGCACACTTATTACAGCTCTCCACACCTCCTACAACCCACACTACCTGAGCAGCATGCTTATTACAGCTCCCCACACCTCCTATAACCCACACTACCTTGCAGCACACACACACTGCAGCTCCCTGCACATCGGATAACCCACTATACCCGAGCAGCACACTATCTGCAGCTTCCTACATCTCCTGTAACAACCATTGCTAACACATCATCATACTCCACATGCCATGCTGCCTAAAACGAAGTAATTCAATCAGGTTTTGCAGTCAGTTTGTATCTTGCAAAAGGTCTCTCTCTATAAACAATCAAACTGTGAATCTCACATGTACTAATGCTGCATTATGTTTGTCGGGATATATATAAAATTTTAATTGCATCATTGGATGTTTAATGTTTCCCATATCATACAGGATTGGGGATGAAAAACCTCTTTAATAAATATCTGCAATAACATTACTCAGATTGTGATTAAATAATTCTGGGAAACAAGGGTCAGGCAAGCTGAAGGAAAGTAGATGCCGTAGTATCGGATTCGGTCCTGATGTTACTTCCAGCATGCTTTGAATCAGTAAACCTGTTCAACTCTAGACATGAAATAGGACAGAGCTCAGTCCATTAACGAACACAATCTTCCTATATTCCAGATTATTTTCTACCAGCGTAGGTCAAACAGCAGAAAACTGTTTTCAGACGATCAGCTCGCACCGAGGACGCCAGCATCGTATTACCTCCATAACAAATCAACATGATGGATTTCATTTGTGTCCTGGGTTTCTACAATCATGGACTGCGATGGTGAAATTGGCGAATTTCACCAGGACTGTTCTTCTTTAAGTGACCATAACTCGATTAACGAAGAAGAAAAACTATCTAACTCTGGGGGGAAATCCAAGCAGTTCACTAGTATTTTGTGTCTGACAACAACTTTGACCTTTTTTGAGATTTCAAAATATGAATAAAAAATGCTGACAACCTGCACATCTAATGTTACTACTCTCAGGAAATAAGAAACAACTTTGTTCATATGATACATGTATCTTGGCTCTTCTCTCCACTCTAATCAATCCCTAATTAATCATTACCTACCTACTTACTTACTTATCATAACTAAAACACACACACACACACACATACACTTTACCCCAATTACACAGTTACAAATTCAACAGACAATGGAGTCTACAAATAGAATTTGTTTGAAGCAATTTGTCAGAATAAAATTCTTGTTAATCGATACCAAAATGTTTTCCGAACGACCTCATCTGTTCACGCTACAAGTAATATGATGTCAATTCATTCAACGATTACCAGGAATTTTATTATGAGCACAGATTTTTGCACACGTCTTGTCTACAAGCAAGTTTTGCTTCTTACAATATAAAATCACAGGTTGTGATTGGCATTATTTCATTGATACGACCAACGCAAGTATATGATGTCCAGCACGCGTGGTGCCAACCATTTGGTTTGGTCAAAATCGTGCTCGATACCACGCAGCCGTGAACCTTTCAGCAACTGTGTGTAGATTTTACGGCCTGTTTTAAAGAATTTGCAAGAAATACACTTTCTAACAAAAGGAGAAAGAAATATTAATTTAAAGATAAAATGCCTGAGTCCTGCTGCACTATGTCCATTATCAGGGTATTGCTAATCCTTTATTATTATTAAAAAAAAGAGAGAGAGATTTTCAACTATTCATATCTTCACAAATGGGCTCACGCTCGTTTCATTTTAAGACAATATTAATGGCTTTTTTGTATTGATTATACATAAGTCTTTTTGTCTCATCATAATGAAGTGTTGAGGCTTTCGCTCCCCAAACTATTATTTCTACCTAATAAGAGCAGAATTTGACAATAGCTGTGAACTGCAGATAGAATTAATGAGGTCACTGTTAATAGCTTTTTGTTTACCCGGAATGTTGTAATTTGGTAATTTTCATACACTTTATTAACCAAGTTGAGTTATTTCAAAAGAAAATCTCCCAGTGGATTTGAGGATTAATCTCTTGAAAGTATTTTGGGCTTTTTATTTCACTGTATTCATTGTTTAAGTTCCACTTACATTTAGACAGAAAAATAGGTAATTGTTCAGCGTTGGATAAAGGTCCGCTGCTTCCATGCGGCCGGAGCGATAATTATAATTAGTATAAACAGATAGATTGATGTTTTCAAGACAAAAAGACACTATCCACACATATATTTTTAGAAAATGGTTTAGAAACCGTGGGGTCATTATTGAAACTTCACAGCCCAAGTGTGAAATTGACCTTCAGACTGGTAATTCTGTGTGAACTCAGGTCTGTTTTAGATTATGGTGTTTTTATTCAGAGTATATTTAAAATGTTCATATTAAAGGCAGTTAAAGAGATTGGTCTGGTGCTAGGAAAGTAAAAGTAAAGTATCACACGGAGACGGGGAAAGGTCAGACTTGCAGATTCTTTGTATAAAAAGCATAAATGCCTCTCAGCACTCTCAGTATAACATGCATCTTGGAGATAGTGTTCCCCATAAGCACTATTTATATATCCATATAGAGAGGGCTGGTCCATTGCGTATCTAGGTTGGACTCTAAACTGATAAAATAAGGATTATCGTAATTACCCTCTTTTTCGACCTTGTACTCCCCCTCTCCCCTTTTTTCTCTCTCCCCCCCATCTCTCTTTCTTAGAGGACCTTCGTGTTCTACCTTATACACCATCTACATATCTCAAATGCGCCACACACTCTCTGAGGCGCCCACATACACTATCCCTCTCCCGAGTGAGAGTGGACCACCAAACACCACTACACCTATACCTACACCCGCATCTGTGACTGCCTACAAGCAAAGGGTATAACTAACTAACCTAAAGGTCTTCCGCAACGACATAATTGTCCAGCTGGATACTTGCTGTACCTTTCTTTTTTTTTTTATTCTTTATTTTATTCGTACACAGCTTAGACATGTAGCACTGCCACAACAGCAGGTTCCTTTGCAGCGTTAAACATTGTATAGTAGTTGTGCAGCATGAAAAAAAGTGTATTTTTTTAGTTATTTAGAGAGACCTGGTTGCATACACAGCCTATGTGTCTTAGTTTAAAATAGTTGTCGATCTCTGCGGCCTCTGCTGTTTACTCGCTATTTGGTCACGTCTAGACCTTGTTTTTGCATCGCTTGTTCTCGCTGTACTAACTTGACATTAAAATGGTTATTGCTATTTCTAGCTTTAACTGGGCGTGAAACCACAGGGAACACGTGGTAACAATGAGTTTAAACATGTGAAAATAAAGAGTCTATTGTGTCGAGTAACTGAGAAAATAATAGAACATACCTGAACCACTGCTGAGCCTAACAAGTATCTGTCTATTGGTGTTTCGCTTGAGTCAGCCTATGTTGGGTGAACTGGTGTCCTGCACTAAAGCCTAGTGTGTGAGGTGTATAAAAATTATGGCAACTTATTTGTAAGCTGTAGAGGTGTCAACTGTTAGTCCAGATTAAGCAATATACACAACAGCATCTCCTTATGGTATTCATGAGCAAGGTGCCCTGGTTTACCAGGCTTGCATATCAGCAGCCAGGGTCCCGATCCTACAGTTCAGAGCTGGGCCTGTTGGCTGTGAAGCAATGCGGTGGGCGCCTTAGCCTATGCCTCTTACTGTTATAAATCGAGTCCCGTTGGCATAGATCTTGTCGGTGGGGCCTCTTGGCTTGAATCCAGCTTCTCTATTTGTCAAGCTTCCTTTTGGTCCGCATTGCGGTGATCCGCCATACCCTCGAGGCGTAGATTTGTTCCCTTCTGGTCCGGACCTCTGCGTTTAAGCAAGTGGTTTGGTTGTAGGGGATATTCGTTGGCCCGGCTCCAGCTTGTGTAGGGGCGAGTATATGCGCTTGGGTGGTATGATGTCGCTTTCCCAACCCAGCCGCGTGGTCACTGTGAGGGCCTGGAGTGGATACCTGTAATGGCGCCGGCGAGTTGTCGGACGGACCCACGAGGCGACCATTCTGGCTGCTCAGCAGTGCGGCATGCTGCGGTGGCAAAGTATGGACCAGAAGTTCAAGCAGAGTGAATCAAAGGTATCCATGGGGTGAATGAATGGATGAGGGTTTGTGCCCGTTGTCCCTGGCCCCTGCTGGGCGGCCATCTTTGGTGTGCCTTGGATTGTCAGTGACCCTACAGACGGTGCGGCTGGGGAACCCATCTGCAGTTTCAGTTTGCGTGTCCTGTGGGGACCGGGATAACCCCCACCAGCCCAGAGGGGGGGGGGTGGATTGGAGACCAGCTATGACACATAGGGGTCCAGTGTCGGAGAGAGCGGCTTCCCCTTCACGACTCCAGCTCCCGCAGGCCGCGCTTAGTGACCCACTTTTCTGGCTCCGACGGGCGTCTATGAGGTATCGCTAGATTCAAGAGAGCACCCCCGACGTGGGTGATGCACCCTGGTAGGTCCTTAGGCTGTTTAGCCGTCGATTGTGCTCTGATGTTAGCCCGTTTAGCAGGAGCTCGAGTTCCACACGTCTGCTCCGTTAAGTGGTTAGGCTCCGCCCCCCTTGCCGTACCTTTCAATGGCTAAAGCACAGGCTTAGGGACACAGTAACCAGCTAGGTCTCATTACACTGCCCCATGGGTGCAACGCACTACTGGCATAATTGCCGGCCTTACGCTGTGCAATACAACATCCACCCTGTATGCCCCTTGGGTCTCCATACCACACTTTAACATACTAACCCGACTATTTTACCATTGTCTGGTATGTTTGGCAACCACAAGCCTAGCGTTACTCTGTTAGACGATGCTGTTATACAACAATGTAGTACTCTCCACATGGTTGTCTCTCTTCGATGATTATGTAA